CCCCCTCTTTCCCCTACATCCTGCAGTCGTCTTCCTCTTCGATCCCTCGCCCCCCTTTTCCCAATCTCGTTGGCCAAAACAAAGACCTAGAAACCAAGGCTCATGGCTAATGGCTCCTGGAACTAACTAACATATGTTGCGCGCACACAGGCAGCACTTCACCAAGGTCGTCATGAAGGACTTCAAGACCCGCCACGGCGACGACCCCATCAAGTCCGGCGCCTCGACCCCCAAGAAGCCCAGCACCCCTCGTCGCGCCGCCGCGAGCACGCCCTCGAAGCGCAAGACCCCGACCTCGGCCAAGGCCAAGGCGGCGGCCAAGTCGGCCGAATTCGTCTCCGCCGAGGACGACGACGAGACCAGCGACGAGGAGCCCCTCGCCAAGAAGAGAAAGGTCAAGGCCGAAGCGGCGGCCGCCGAGGCTGAAGCCGAAGCCGAAACGATGCCCTCTCCCGTGAAGAAGGAGACCAGGAAGACTCGCGCTCGCAGGTAAATGCGGATCGGACCCTCCCGGCAGCGTGTTCACTGGCAGGGTCGTCGGGTGTACTGACGTGTCGTGGTGTTTTAGCCAGACGGTGTGCTCAGAGAACGAGGCCTTCCAGGCTTGGCTGGAGAAGACTGGCAGTTAGGCAATCGACGACGCCACGCGGTCGAGATGGGGGGAGTGATGGTCTTTGAGGCGAACGGCCGCCGGTGGGCACGGCGTTAAAGCGGGCTTGTTCTTCTTCACAATCGATGGTGCTTCAGCGTTCACTCTGCTTTCGCCAGAGGCGTTCTTCTACGTGGGAATTCAGACACAAAGGATAGGGCCAACAAGTATACGGTCGAGTCGTTTCGTTACTCTTTAGCTGGTCAACGCGAACGGTGAAGTGATCGTCCGTAATTGCCTAGCAACTGAGTGTATTTGGGATGCTACCGGGTCCTTAATGCCAGTGTCCAGCCAGTTGCCAAGGAAATGTGCCTCGCTCAAATGTCATTATTGACGCGAACCCCTAAACGCCATGCAGCTTCCTCTCTAGCTTCTCATTTCGGCCGCCTTCCATCGAGCCTGTGGCCCTCGCTTGGCCCTTTCTTGTCCGGAGCCTTTGACTTTTCGTCAGATTCTCCCTTGCGCTTTACTGTACCTCGCAGGCTCTGCCCCTGGCCAGCGAAGTGCGGCTTCTCGGAGTTCTCCTTGTCCACTTGCTTCTCCTCATCCGTCTTCACGGGCTTAAACTCGTAGCCGAAGAAAAGCTTATTCGGCGGCAGGCGGAGGGGTGCCGGGGCACCGGTCCGTCGCTTCGGCACACCTGCAGCGTCGACAGGGACTGGCGTAGCTGGCTTGGGCGTCGAATTTTTGCTACCCTTCTTCGCGAGGCGCTGTCCTTCTCCCAAGAAATTCGTTGCGGTGCTGGTGACTGACGGCGCGATGGAGCTGTAGTTGATGGCCTGTGCCATCGTACCCTGACTGTGCACCACTCCGCCTGCCGCGATGCCTGCCCGCCCGCTCTGTGGCGTGCTTGTGCCGCTCCTCTTCTCAGGCTCGACATAGCCGACTGGCGGAGCAAAGTCGACCGATACGTCTGTCTCGATCATGCAGACGCCCATCTTGTCCGTCTCTGGCTTGACGTCCAGCACGGCCATCTCGTAGACCTCGTCGTTGTACTCAAAGTTGAACACGTCTCCCTTTGTGAGAGCGGCAAAGCTCCTAAATGCCCTCTCAAGAACGGCTCTGGGATCGCTTATTTCAAGGAAGCTGACGGACTGAGGCTGAAGCTTGACCAGCTTGGCCAGCTCGAGAGACGTGGTTCGAACTTGGATCATGTCGCCGACCTCCATCCCAAGTGTCTCCATCATCTGTAGATGAACGTCAGCTCGTGGCACGGCAAAACTGGATGCTGTTCGGACGAACCCATTGAGGAATGTATGCTCGGCCCTCCTCGGCGATGAACTCGAGGACACCGGCGTGGGAGTGTTTGCCTTTGGCCCCGTTGATAAGCTCCATCAGAAGTGGCCACTGGACATGCAGCTTTGACACCTTGTCCAGAGCTGACGGCGGAAGAATTATCTTGGAGCCATAGTTGAGGTCCGGCCGTTCGGTGCCTGGGGCCATGATGACTGGGTAGCATCGGTAGTACTCGTCGAAGCGCTGCACGATCGGTCGACGCCCGTGGCGAGCCATGTTGTACATGTGTTCCGGGTTGCCGGGGTCAAAGCCTCCGCCGAACGGCGAATACTGGGGTGCGTTGTTAGTTAGTCACGGTCAGTCAAGGGAAGATAGCGGGCATCGCAACGAACCATGGTAATGCGTTTGTGTGGCGACGAGGCCAGGCGGTAGGTTTGGCACGATGAGGAGAGCGTAAGGCGCCCGGTTTTAGCAAGGGCACAGGGAGCTGAGGAAGATGCGAGTAGCTCCTCTGAGGCGTTGTGCTATGAAAGGAGTTCCGAGCCCGCGTGTTGTCGTGCTGGGTTCGCAGAAGTAGGTAGGCAGGTTTGAAGTCGGCTTCGCTCCGTGCTGTTGGTGATGGACGGTGCTGATGATGTGGGGTGGTTGTGGCAGCGAAGGCAGCTTGGGGGATGACGCAGGCACCAGGACAGAGCTTCAGCGGACCCCCGGCGCCAAACATAATCCGCCAGCCACTCACACGGCCTTGAGGCACTTGCCCCACTAGCTCAAGGTTCCAGTTCAGAGCTTCGAGGCTGATCACTTGCGAACTGCATGTCCGCTTGTGCATCACTGCGCACCGCACAGAGCTGGAGTCACGCCCATTCTACTCTTGCGAGCACATATTCCTTGACTAAGGCACCATATCACCAAGACTACATTTGCTCTACCCCGAGTCTGCCGTCGGCAGCCAGCCGAACCGCAATGTCGTCCCGCTTCTCGGCCGCAAGGCCAAAGCGAGATGGGGAGAACTTCGCGCGGATGCACCACAACAAAGACGAATCCGACAGCAAGCGGGTCAAGTTCGACGTGCGAAATCCGTCGACGCTGGCGCCGGATGCCCGCGAGGATGACGCGGTGCTGGATGCGGATGTCATCGGCGGAACCGGTGCGACAAAGCGAGGTGCCGTGAACCTCGACGGCTATGACAGCGATTCCGACAACGAGACCTTCAACGCGAGAGCTGCGACCCGCAAGGCAGGCAACGTCGACTGGAACAAGCTTGACAACTACGATGCCAAGGGCGGTGGTGCGGACGGCACAACAACTACGGCCAACGGCGGAGACGACGACGACGATGACGATATGTTTGCCGCAGACGACAAGGATGCAGGTGACGCTGCAGAACCGGAATCTGCAGATTTCGACAAATCTGGCCGCAAGAAGAAGGATATCCGATTTCTTGACGCGGCTAATATCCAAGGCCAAGAAGAGACAAGCAAAAGCGGAGGCCATGTCAGGCTCGATGACCAAGAGAGCAGCGACGACGAAGCCGACGTTGAGCTCGCCATCCAGGAAGAAGGGCTGGACCAGGAAGTCGGCGCTGGCGGTTTGAAGCGAAATGCGCCAAAAGTGGAAGCCTTCAACCTTAACGAGGAAATGCAGGAGGGCCGCTTTGACACAGAGGGGAATTACGTGCGCAAGGCCGGCGACCCGGACGCCCAGCACGACAACTGGCTCAACGGCCTAAGCAAGAAAGACATGAAGAAGGCGGCAGAGGCTCACGAGCGGCGCGAGGCTGAAGCTCGGAAACAGCGCATCCAGGAGGACGGCGTCCTGGTATCGGACCTCCTCAAAACGCTGATCCTGCAGCTGGAGAAGGCTGAGACGCCACTGGAGGCGCTGGCCAGGCTTGGAAAGAACCAGGTCAAGCCGACAAAGAAGATTCCCAAATGGAAGCTCAAGAAGATGAACAAGGGCGCGGACGGCATGGACGTCGACCCCGACGCCACTGAGGATCCAGAGCAGGCCAGACTCAAGCAATCCATCGACGCCATCACCGACGCAGCTGACAAATTGCTCAGCCGCGATTATGAGGACGTTTACGACCAAGAAAGAGAGATGCTAGTCCGGGAGTATCGGCGCGAAACCGGTGAGGATTGGGTCGAGCCTGAGCCTCGAGGCAACACGAAGGTCGGTGACGCCGAAGCGTCGGGTGACGAGACCAAGTGGGAGTTTCGATGGACTGACGGTCGCGACGGCGGAGATACGCAGGGCCCATTCGACACTGCCATGATGAAGGCGTGGCAGGATGCCGGCTATTTCGGTGAAGGAGTCGAGTTCCGCCGTGTCGGCGACGGTGGCGACTGGAGCCAGACGGCCACCTTTACATGAGGTGCATCACCGGTGGTCGAGAATGGAGCCGCGATGCTCACGTGCGCTTTTCGCATAGACCTGGCGCGGCAGGGGTTCGACGGGATTCATCCGCGACGGCCATGATGCCGACGGTCACGGGCTGGCTCGCTGGCTCTCGGATGCCGGAGGTCACCACCGCCTCGGCCACCAGCGCTGCTCATGTGGGGACGACGGGAACAGAGCAAGGGGCCAAGGCGCCTTTTTACGTGAGTGCAGATGTTTGTGTACGAAAATCGAGGGACAGCGCCGGCCGAGAAGGGAAACTAGACAGCCGACGAGAACTGGTTCCTGGTGTTCCCGAACGAGGCCCGCATGGCCGCGGCTGCGGGCGGCTCTTGTCGCCAGCGGCAGCCCGTGAAGCCCCGGCCACCTCCACGATTCGCGCACGATGCACCCGATCCGTTGCCGTGCTGCGGGACGGCAGCCGCTGGCGTTTGTTTAGGCCCCTGCAGGCCTGTGCCACACACAGGCTGTCCTGGACGATGAAGCCATCGTGAGAACGGAGGGTACGAAGAGCAATTTTTACAAATTGGAGGACGCGCTGCCCGCGCTGGCGATTGAGTCACCGTGGGAAAAACTGGACGCCGGAAGCGGAGGACATTTTTGTTGAGTGATTTATCATCGCTATTACAGCACAGCACAGCAGGCACGCCTTGTCGGAGACTCTGCATCGGCCGATAAGCACAACGAAACCACACGCACCAGAGCTGGGCGGGCTCTACCGCGGCGGTACCTTGGGCGCGGGCGGCGGGCGTCGCCAAGGTTGGGTATCTCGTATGTTTTGGCGGGCGCGGCGTACCCGCCGGTTCCGGTAAAAGACGCAACTGGGCTGTGGTGGAGCGAGGCGAGGGAGCAGTCGTTCGCTGGGCTGAGGATG